ATATAAGAAGTAAAAATTTGACTAATACCGTCATTCTAATATACTTGTAGATTTCTTGGTTTGTTATAACAATTTCTCACCCCTTTTATATTCTTTCAAATTGCCAAAATCGTAAAATGAGTAAAATTCGTCATTTATTGACAGTTTCTCCTGTAAGAAGGAAACTGTCAGCAATTTCCTTTATATAGCATATATTCTTAGATATTTTCTGCTGATAATTTTTGCGGTTTTTTGTTACTTTCTATGTCTTTTGAATTTTGATTAATTGATTGGTTGTTGTTCCCCTCTATCATGTGTAATAATTCAGAAAAAGCCAAAACACATAAAACGTTAGTAAATATTGCCATATAAGTGATGAAAAAAATAACTCCTACTAGTAGTTTTAGTGAATCATATATAGGATAAGTATGTAAATCTTGACATTGTGAGCATTTTTCATTTTTTTCAGAATTTCCCTATGTATTATCATTTTTAAAATATGGCAATTAACAGCAAAATTTTGCCCTCCATTACGAGACAAAGGAAGCCCTCTTGAGTTGTTGCTAGGTTTCCTTTAAATGCAATCCAAGTGGCAATTTCCCTGATATCCTATGAACACCGTCGTTTTGGATTACATATGTTCATTTAAGTCTCGTTAAAAGCTTTGAAGAGAAAATAATAAAATATTAAAGATCAGAAGTTCAGTGAATATATAAGGGTTTGATACTTATAACCTTGTTTATTAATTAGTTGAAATTAGATTTGAACTAGTTTGCAGTATATGCGATTACTATTAGGTACGTACGTTTAGGATTTTTTGTTTTTGCTTTTTTTTTTAGGGTTCCTTTGTGCTTTGTGTCGATCTGATGAGTCAAGCCCTTTCCCAGAGACGGAATTAGGAGGGAATCTCCTTGTGGAACTACATATTTGGTTAATACATAGACTTTTGACAGGTCCCACTCCTAACGTACATGTACGTTGTCTTGGCGGAGCCCCTCCTCCTTTTCAAAATCCTTAATTTGCGATGATTTGTAGAAATTGTTCCTATGTTATGCTGTTACATCACTGTCCAAGGTTAGAGTGAAGGTATTCTTTATGTGCCTGTCCGGAATCATGGTTGAAATAAAATTAAGAATGGAAATGGGGAATATGTCAAAGAGACAACAACCCGACCAAAGAGCAGACAACAGCCGAAGGCCACCAATGGGTCTTCAACGCAGCGAGAAAATCCCACACCCGGAGGTGGTCCCCAGCTGGCCCCTAAATAAATTTGTGTACTAGTTCAGTGAAAATGGACGTCACACTAAACTCCAAAACATATAAATAAACTTAAATTAAAAAAAACATACAAGACTAACAAAGGCCAGAGGCTCCTGACTTGGGACAAGCGCAATAAAATGCTTCGCTGGGGCGCAGCTTGATACGACCGCAGAGGTCGAACCCAGAACAGTTGGGGCATGTATGGACACAACATTCAAGCTTGATACAGCTCTGAATTTGGATTGTTATTAAATATTTGACACAGCATAGGTTTCTGACACAGAAAGAATGTGGTCTAAGAACTTGAATTTTTTTTAATTTACCTATTATGGTCCAATGTCCAAAATCAAAATACATGGTTAGATTCAGCATATCAAAGAACCCCAAGAATTCAATTTTTGCTAAAATCAAACTAAGTTTAATTTTGGACCCTTTGGACCTTAATGTAGACTATTTTGAAAACGGGACTTAAAATTAAAAATCTAAATACACGGTTAGATTTGGAATATCAAAGAACCCCAATAATTCAATTTTTGATGAAATCAAACAAAGTTTAATTTTGGACCCTTTTGACCTCAATATGAACCAATTTGATAGCGGGGCCCACAAATAAAAAATCTAAATTCATGGTTAGTTTCAGCATATCAAAGAACCCCATATATTCAATTTTTGTTGAAATAAAAAAAAGTTTAATTTTGGACCCCAACTTGGACCAACTTGAAAACTGGGCCCATAATCAAAAATCTAAACACATGTTTAGATTCAGCATATCAAAGAACCCCAAGAATTCAATTTTTGTAAAAATCAAACAAAGTTTAATTTTGGACCCTTTGGACCTCAATGAAGACCAATTTAAAAAACGGGACCCAAATTAAAAATCTAAATACACGGTTAGATTTGGCATATCAAAGAACCCCAATAATTCAATTTTTGATGAAATCAAACAAAGTTTAATTTTGGACCCTTTTGACCTCAATATGAACCAATTTGATAGCGGGGCCTACAAATAAAAAATCTAAATACATGGTTAGATTCAGCATATCAAAGAACCTCATATATTCAATTGTTGTTGAAATCAAACAAAGTTTAATTTTGGACCCCAATTTGGACCAACTTGAAAACTGGGCCCATAATCAAAAATCTAAATACATGTTTAGATTCAGCATATCAAAGAACCCCATATATTCAATTTTCGTTGAAATCAAACAAAGTTTAAATACTGGACCCTATCTTGGACCAACTTGAAAACTGGGCCCATAATCAAAAATCTAAACACATGTTTAGATTCAGCATATCAAAGAACCCCAAGAATTCAATTTTTGTTAAAATCAAACTAAGTTTAATTTTGGACCCTTTGGACCTTAATGTAGACCAATTTAAAAAACAGGACCCAAAATTAAAAATCTAAATACACGGTTAGATTTGGAATATCAAAGAGCCCCAATAATTCAATTTTAGATGAAATCAAACAAAGTTTAATTTTGGACCCTTTTGACCTCAATATGAACCAATTTGATAACGGGGTCCACAAATAAAAAATCTAAATACATGGTTAGATTCAGCATATCAAAGAACCCCATATATTCAATTTTTGTTGAAATCAAACAAAGTTTAATTTTGGACCCCAATTTGGACCAACTTGAAAACTGGGCCAAAAATCAAAAATCTAAATACATGTTTAGATTCAGCATATCAAAGAACCTCATATATTCAATTTTTGCTAAAATCAAACAAAGTTTAATTTTGGACCCTTTGGACCTTAATGTAGACTATTTTGAAAACTGGACCCAAAATTAAAAATCTAAATACACTGTTAGATTCGGCATAACAAATAAATAAATGTGATCAAAGATTTTACAAATCTAATGCGCCATACTGTGCAATTAAAGATTACTATTTGAAATTTTTCAATATTTGAAATTTGAAAAAAAATAATATTTGAAGAATAATTCTTTTTAATTTCTGAAATCTGAAATGAGTAAAAATTGACCCCCCACAATTTCTTTTTATCCCCCCCCCCCCCCCTTTTTTCCCCCAAAAAATTCTTTCCCTCAAGATATGGTCATAATCTCAATTCAAATTTCCAATGGAGTTGGCAACCATAATTACCCATTTAAATTTACCATAGTGCTAACTTAATCTATTTTATAATAGAATTAAAAATATAGTGTCAAATCTTTCATATGGATTTTTTGGTAAAAAAAATGATGCAACATTTGCAGATATTTTTACTGGTCTTCCTTTATAAATATGCATTTCTTTAAACATAATTTAAAAGCAGTGTAAGGGAAGTAACCAAAACGTTGTATTTGGATTACCTCCCTTACACTGTTTTAAATTATCTTTATTGTTTATTAACCATTACTTTATACATAATTTAAAAGCAGTGTAAGGGAGATAATTTCAATGATGTATTTGATTTATCTCCCTTACACTGCTTTAAATTATGTTTTGTACTAAAGTATTTGTCCATTAACCAGGACAACCTTGTTTTTCCCCCTTTTTTGCCCCTAATTCCTAAACGGTTTGAGCCATAACCCCCCAAAGCAAATCCTAACCATCCCTTTGTGGTATGGAAACTTGTAGTATAATTTCAGAGAGATCCATACACCGTTCCACAGTTATTGTCTGGAAACTAGAAAATGCTTATTTTTGGCCCCTTTTTGGCCCCTAATTCCTTAACTGTTGGTACCATAACCCCCAAAATCAATCCCAACCTTCCTTTTGTGGTATTTAACCTTATGGTAAAATTTCAAAAAGATCCATCCACTTAAACTAAAGTTAGAGTGCGAAAATCAATGTGTCTTCGGACGACGACGCCGGACGACGACGACGACGACGACGACGACGCCAACGTCATACCAATATACGACCACAAAATTTGTTTGCGGTCGTATAAAAATGCGGCGGGGTTAAACATGTTTTGTGAGATCAATTTCATGTTTGGCAATCATACACATCTTGTATTTTTTACATTAAGAAACCTAAAATCAACATATTAGATAACTGTAATTTTCCCAATTTTTTACTCGTCAGTGGAATACCTCTGTACCTTTACGTGTATAAAATCAACATACAAGATAGAAGGCAAAATAGGAAACGAGTTACTGTATCATATGTAATGAAGGTGTTATTAAGTTCAAACTGCAAAGATTACTATTCTGTACGGTATGTACAATAGAAAAACCAAGGATATGGGGTATCAATGATCCATGACGCAAAATCAGTACATGTACATAAAAAAACACACAAAAAGCAAAGGAACAGCGCTTTTATTGTTGTTCTTCATCTCAAAAGAACAGTGAGGCCTTCAGTTTCGATTTTTGCCAATTTATGTGACCGTTTCAGTGCTGTTCCTTGTCCTTAGAAAGGTAAAGTACGCGATTCATATAAACGAGGGTTTAGAGATGGGGTTTACAGAATAGAGAATAATCCCCCCCCCCCCCCCCCCCAAAAAAAAAAACAATGAATAGAGAATAATGGTGTGCAAAACTGTACAGGTTTATCCATCTATGTTTATACATCTATGGAATAATACAATTACGATTTAATAGTAAAATATTTTATTCTTAAAGAGTTTTACAAAATAACCATTACTTCAAAGATAAAAAAAAATGCAAAAAATATAAATAACACAAAAATATGGAATCCCCACCCAGCCGGACCCTATTATAACACTGTGAAGCTACACATTATACATTGATAGATACAAACAGAAACACAAATGACGTACGTTAAATTACAAGCTATTCTGTACTTACACCAGTTAAACCGTTGACCATATATCCAAGATTGTTCTTGTTGGTTTCTTTTACTACCACAATTGCCCATCACCTCATTTTCATTACTTACATATAATCATAACAAACACTAAGAGAGACATGAGAGACAGCTAGCATTAAATGTTATTTTTAGCAAAGCGATGAACATGAATTGATGAACGTCTACATTTTTCTTCAATTATGATCATGTGTATGTGTATTTACGGTCGATCAATAAGCACTTAACAACTGTAATGAGGGTCTATATGTGTGTTAATTATTACTGACCATTACTGTAAATGTTTAAAATACTTTAGTTTAAATTATCACGATATTGATAATGTTCATGTGTATTACTATAATAAGGGTCTATATGTGTGTTATCAGTAATATATTTAAAATACAGTAGTTTATCATGATAATGTACATGATTGTGTATTACTGTAATGAGGGTCTATATGTGTGTTATAATATGTTAAAAGGCATGCAGGACAACTCGGCCCGGAGACAACTCGGACCGAGCCAAATCGGACCATCAAATAAGTCATCTCGGACCGAGCCAAATCGGACCATCAAATAAGTCAACTCGGACCGAGCCAAATCGGACCATCAAATAAGTCAACTCGGACCTTCTATCAAAACAACACGGACCGTCAATAAGTCAACTCGAACTGTCTATTGAGTTAACTCAGACCGTCTATAATGACAAATCAGCCAAAGTATCAAAAGAGGATTTGAACTATATAAATGATTATAAATTATTGAATGTTATATTTCACATGACAATATCATTTGCATGTTGCTGAATTTGCAAACATAAAACATAAAACATAAAACATAAAACATAAAACGGGAAAAAGCTGACAAAAAATCTTTGGACTCTTTTTTTAATTCAGTAATGAACATAGTTGATATACGTATTCAACATTTTAAAGAACATTTTACTCTTAACAATAACCACAATAAACCTATTTCTCGTATCAAACATAAACTAAAAGAACTAGCCAAGGAATTTGTTTTTGTCCCGGCCGATAAAGCTGCTAATAATATTATTATTGTTTGACGTAAATTTTACATTGAGGTTCTGAAAAAAGAAATCACCAATTCACCAACATTCCAACTGACTCCATTTTCAGAAAACGACATCTGTAACAAACATAAACTTTTAGCTACCGCTTTACAAGCAGAACCAAATACAATGAAAGTCCAAAATATGTATTGGCTTCCGAAGCTACACAAAACACCTTACAAATATAGATTCATTTCGTCTTCAAGCCATTGTTCCACTACTAAATTGTCTATTCTTCTTACCAGTACACTTGGTACAATCAAAAACGTGATAATAAATTGTTCAAATAAGGCCTTCGAAAATAGTGGAATTAATTACTTTTGGAGTGTCAAGAACTCGTTGGAAGTACTTGATAAATTACATGCATATATTGGCGATTTTGAATCTGTTCAAAGTTTTGATTTTTCTACCCTATATACCACATTGCCTCACATTCTCATTAAGAAAAAATTCACACACCTAATTAAATGGGCATTTAAAAAGTCAGAATGTGAATATATATGTTCAAACTCTTTTAGGTCATTTTTTAGTAGCAATAAACGAAAAAACTATGTCAATTGGACATGCTTTGATACTATATATGCCCTTGAATTTTTACTAGATAACATTTTTGTTCGCTTTGGAGATTCCGTATATCGTCAGGTTATCGGAATTCCAATGGGGACTAACTGTGCACCACTTATTGCGGACCTTTTTTTGTATTGCTATGAGTTACAATTTATGACAAAAATCAGCAAAGACCCATCGAAACAACATCTGATACACAAATTTAATAATACTTTTAGATATTTGGATGATATTTTGGCTCTCAATAATGACGACTTCAGTATGTATACTAAAGAAATTTATCCTGTTGAACTTACTTTAAATAAAGCTAATACTAACAATGACCACTGCCCTTTCCTCGATCTTGATATCTATATCATTAATGGAAAGCTTAATACTAAAATATATGATAAAAGAGATGATTTTTCATTTCCTATTGTTAATTATCCATTTTTAGATGGTGACGTTCCCTTGTCACCATCTTACGGTGTTTATATATCTCAACTTGTACGATTCGCTCGTGTATGTAACAATGTTTTAGATTTTAACGAGAGAAATTTATGTATTACTGAAAAATTATTACACCAGGGTTTTCGATATCACAAACTAGTCAAAACATTTACTAAATTTTATCATCGGTATAAGGACATCATTCGTAAATATAGCTCAACATGCAGACTTCTTATACGTTCAGGTATTTCACATTCAATTTTTTATGGAAATATTCTTTATAAAGCACAAAAATGTCAGTATTCACCTCTGAAGCTAACAAAACCTTTAAATAGACTTATTAAGAAGGGATATAGTTACGATACTGTTGTCAGGTCATTAAAGATTGCATATTTTGGCGTTAATATTGATTCAATTATAGGGTCTTTGCATCGGCACTAAACACATTTATTTAAAAACCAGTTGTTGGCATGACACGGGTTATGTTCTTCTCATATATGTTATGATGGTATGAAACTAAACCCCTAACGGGAAGGATTGTGCCTGATATTCATATGATGAAGACATAATCTTTCAATCAGTTTAATTGAAGTCTGGAGCTGGCATGTCAGTTAACTGCTAGTAGTCTGTTGTTATTTATGTATTATTGTCATTTTGTTTATTTTCTTTGGTTACATCTTCTGACATCAGACTCGGACTTCTCTTGAACTAAATTTTAACGTGCGTATTGTTATGCGTTTACTTTTCTACATTGGCTAGAGGTATAGGGGAGGGTTGAGATCTCATAAACATGTTTAACCCCGCCGCATTTTTGCGCCTGTCCCAAGTCAGGAGCCTCTAGCCTTTGTTAGTCTTGTATTATTTTTAATTTTAGTTTCTTGTGTACAATTTGGAGTTTAGTATGGCGTTCATTATCACTGAACTAGTATATATATTTGTTTAGGGGCCAGCTGAAGGACGCCTCCGGGTGCGGGAATTTCTCGCTGCATTGAAGACCTGTTAGTGACCTTCTGCTGTTGTCTGTTCTATGGTCGGGTTGTTGTCTCTTTGACACATTCCCCATTTCCATTCTCAATGTTATAATAAAAAAAAATATATTGTATAATATGAATTCAAATTTTCACTTATCTTTACCAATTTGTTATAAAACTTAATTGAAGCAAAAAAGTCTAGGTTGAATTTGTTTTATTTGTTTGTAAGAATCTACCAAAAAAATAAAACCGTTATTTACTCAAAAAGTCATACAGCTTTCATAGAACAGAAATAGAAAAATCTCAGGAGCTTCATTCGATTGTCTATATAGATGTCTCTTCATAGACGGTCCGAGTTGCCTTTTTCGTCATTTGTATACTCAAAATTGGCGTCCAAACTTTTTATTAGAGACTTCTCTTCAGACACAGTCTTTTTCATTAAATCATTGATTTCGTCAAAACTCTAATTTTTACTTAGTCTGAGTTGGCATTACAGACGGTACGGGTTGACTTATAGACGGTCCGAGTTGACTTTATAAACGGTCCGAGTTGACTTATTGACGGTCCGAGTTGTCTTTGTTGTAGACAGTTCGAGTTTTCCCCGGGCCGAGTTGTCTAGCACCCGTTAAAAGTATAGTAGTTTATCTGACTATGAAAAGTGAATTTTCGTGCCGTTTTACGGGTAAATAATTATATTATATGTATGTATATTTTGATTGGCTAACAGCAATCTCGCGTCATTCTGAAATTAACCTTCATTTCAAAATGAAATGTAACTATCATGATGACACTAGCTTCCGCAATAAAGTGCACAGGTAAATAAAAGAAAACTTGAAAGAAATCGTGTTTTCATGATCATAGCAAAACAATGTAATTAGACGTATTGAAAGCTCCTTTTAGTACTTTAATAATTTCAGCCATGTGACAATTTTTTTAATCTCTATTTTATACAGTTTATTTGACTTTTATTATTGCCAAAACGCAAAGTGGTTTAAATTTCAATTGAAGGACATTAACTCATATTGTGTAGTCGACTTCAGTCATGTTGACTTATTTGCAGATCTTGTCTTGCTAATCATCTTTGTTGTTAAAACTTTATCTCTATCTTCTATGTTTGCTAGACTCACCAAAACTATAATAATTATGACTTGCAATCGGCATTAAATGGCAATAAGTCCTATTAGGATCCAACTACTGATTAAGTTCATTTAACGTATGTGTAGATCTTATTTTGCTGTTGGCTGTTTCGCTGTATCGACCACAGGCACTTGTCTCAGAAAACAATTTCCTATATACCTTAATATATTAAAGTATATTATATGGAACGCCATGACTGTCTTCTGATGTTGATTGTTTAATATGTTCGGTGCTTTATGCATTATGTTCAGTAGTATTTATATTATGTTCAGTAGTTTTGACATTATGTTCAGTAGTTTTGACATTATGTTCAGTAGTTTTTACATTATATTCGGTGCTTTGGTTATTATGTTCAGTAGTTTCATTATTATATGCAGTGGTATTTAAATTATGTTCGGTACTTCTGACGTTATATTCAGTGCATTTTTCATTATGTTCAGTACTTTCGACATTATGTTCAGTAGATTCAATATTATTTGCAGTACATTATGTGTTACCTTCAGTGGTCCCGGTTTCTTTATATTCGGTGGATTATTCATTATGTTCTGTAACAGCATCAGTATTATACTCGGTTCAATGAACTATGTGTTCAGTGGTTAACTTGTATCATTATGATGATGTAGTAAAAGTCGGGAAATCAATAACATTAAGTATTAAAAATGCTACCATTACTCTTCTGTAATAAATGGAAGCTTTAAGGTTACTTCAAATTTCAAATGAGGTACATAAGAAAACATTTAAAATATAAATTATTATTTTTAGTAGAAACTTGAAATTTTCTTGCAATGCTAGGCGGTGTTCTCGTAGAAGTGAGAAATAAAGTGCAGGTTCCAGTCTGGCTCGGTGAGGAAGTAAAGAATCAGATCTACTCTAACATCGTTAGGTTCATTTTCTAGGCATTATATATATATATATATATATAAATCTTTATATACATTGTTTTCCTCTAAAAAAACGAAATGCAAACAAATAATCAGAATTGAAAGTCGAATGATGATTAAATGTAACAATAACG